GGCTTTGAGTGTTGGGAGCGACGGCGAGCGGCGGGAGGAGTGCTGAGGGGCGGGGTGTTGAGGGTTGTAAGGGAGATGTGTTGCAGTTCAGGAATCTTGGGAGGGGCGTTGAGGGTTGCAGGGGAGGTGTGTTCAAGTTCAGGAATGCTAGGGAGGGGTGTTGAGGGTTGTAGGGGGTGTGTGTTCAAGTTCAGGAATGCTGGGGAGGGGTGTTGACGGGTGTAGGGGAGGGGTGCTGAGGGGCGCAGGGTAGGGGTGGAGAGGGGGTGGCGGGTGTGTTGAGGGATGTTGGGGAAGGGTGCAGCGGAGGGGTGTTGATGGCTGTAGGGGAGGGACGTTCAGGGGTGTAGGGGCATGGAGGGATGTTCTCTTTTTTTTTGTCGTTTTCGGAGTGGGGGCCCTTAGTCCTTGTCATCCGCAGCCCCACACCGCTCGCGCGTTTTTCAAAAGTGGGTGAGACGTTGGGGAAAAGTGGAAGAACGAGGTTAGAGTGGGGGTAGGGGGGGTTAGAGCGGCGCTCTAACGGCGCCCTACCCCGCTCTACCCGTCTTTTGCCGGTTCCTAGTAGGGAAAGCCAAAACCACGTAGAACTAGACAAGAACATAGTGAGGCAGCCTCAGGCAGGCAGGCAGGCAACAAGTATCACAAGTCACTGCAGAGAAAGTGTACAAAACAGGGTGCAGTCTTGGCATGAAGCGTCTTGATTGTGATATCCAGCTAGCAACAGAGAACTGACCCACTAACTAAATTGCCAGCTGGCTCCTTCTCCCTTTCCTTGTTTGCATCCTCCTTTTCCTACAAGGAAGTTGTTGTTCCATTAATCGTTGACCGATCTTGCTTTTGAACACATCCATTGTCTCCCACGTACTTGTTTCCTCTGTCTATCAACCTCTTTTTTTCCTCTGTCTATCAACCTCTTTTTCTGCCTCGCATCTCCTCCGCTTCACAGTTTGAGAATGAGCAATCCTCAGGAGCTGAGCCCAACCCTGCAAGTCTTGCAGATGGCCTAAAGCACCAGTACATGGCCCCAGCCAAGTTGAGAGCTCATTTGAGCCTCTCGTAAAAGTTAGGAGGCTCGTGCACCGTCAATAAAATAAATCGATGGCGAGCAGCCTCCGAAAGGTGCGCACGGCCGATGGCTGGCCGGTACTGGTGGTTTAACAACTTGTGATTCAGGGACTCGTACCGATCCCACATAATTGTCTTTTCCCCTCTGGGCCACTTGTGGCCCCCAAGCCCCAAGTGTTGGGCCCTTTTCAACCCCAGGCTGCCAGTTTCGGGTGCAAGGACAGGTCCAAAAACACTCAAAGGCGGAGCACCTTTGCGACGATGCGGACTTGCCAATATTTACCTGCATCATTGTATCGGATTCATCCGAGTCTAAAATCAGTTACATATTTGCGCACCCGCAATTTCTATAGCATGTCTGATCGGTGACGGGCAAGGCTTGTAGTCCGGTTCAAGGCTGGTTGTGCACGTCTAATGTTAAGTCCGATATTTGCCTGCGTCGTTGCGTCGGAGTCATCCTAATCTAAAGTATGTTACATACTTGCGGGCCCGCCATTTCTACACCATCCATGTGAAATCGGTGAGGGTGAAGGCTTGTCGTCCGATTCAAGGTTGGCTATGCATTGTCTTTCTGTTTCGTTGCGCTGCTATAGTGCTCCCCAACTGGTGGACGCATCTCTGTCGCTTTATCATTGCCAAAGTCCAACAACTGTCTCGGCTGTGATTTGGGTCAACGTCTGTTGCTCTGCTCGCAGGGAAAAGTGGAATGCTTCAGTGGTGTGATACGGCGACGGTCGATCAAGACTTCCGTCCGACGCCAGCTTGCCTTCCATTACGTTTTCGGCAGGAATTGGCTGGGAAGGGATTGGTTATGGGCATTGGAGTTCCGAGCATTGCCGATAGTACTTCTTCCCGACTCGAGCCATGTGCTTCCTCAAGAAAACGGTCACGTGACTCAAACACTCAGCATCGACGGAAGAGAACACAGTTGCCCACCTCCACCGAGCATTCATACATCTCTCGTGACGTGCTCGAAGACGACAAAAACACTGGAAGCGGGGGCCAGTTCCTTAGTGTCGATTGTACATCCAAAGTCTCTTCATCATGTTCTGAAATGACCGACACTGGGATGTCGAGCTCCATACCCGAGGGTAATCTCGGTAACTGTAGTTATAGTGGGACGGAGTACGTGTATAGTGCGAACAACTGCACTACTGCTGGTTCTTCCTTGGGAGTTGCCGATGGGGGTGATAGGGTTTCCTCGTCTACCCCTCCGCAGTGCCAGGAGAGTCAAGGACCGTCCACGGATGAAATCACTGAATACTGTTATTCACGAGACAGTTAGAGCTCGCGCTGCCTCTCTGAAGAGGACCGCCACATACGGTACATTTTGTCGGTGCCTATGCCCGCTGAAAGAAGACCCTATTCTATGGCAAACAGAGAACCGGCCAAAAAGACACAGCATCGGCGAGCTATGGCCAAACTCAAGATGCAGTCACTTCAGGCAATGCGAGGGATGCTCTGTTGTAGGCGGATGTGTTGCGCTGAACTGACAGCCGAAGATGTCAAGCCGGTGCGGGAGGCATTCTACTCGAAAAGTTTCGCGGAAAGGACGAAGTGGTGGTTGCAAACCATACATGACTTCACGGTTATGGAAGGTGGTGTTAAGCGGGTCAGGCCTGTAGCTTGCAAACGGAAGATGTGCGTGCAGGCATACTGTAACATTCTCGACATTTCTCGTAACACATTCTATGTTTTCAAAAGGATGTACGACAGCGGTGTTGTCGTTAGGGAGCATGGGCACTCGAGCTTGTCTAAACCAGCCGAAAAAGTCGTCACGATGCTTGCACTGCTGAAACGGTTCATCGACGACCACGCCGATAGTATGTCGAATGACATGGTCTCGAAAAATGGAGTTTGTCGTCCTCGCCGTAGGATTCCTGCGGCATTCACAAAACGAGCAATTTACGAATCATTGCGCTATGATCTTTTGATGTGTCACTCGGAAGTTGTGTCAGAGTCGATTTTCTATGCTATGTGGAGTAAGCACTTCTGGCACGTGAGTCTATCTATGTCCAACACATTCACGAAGTGCGCAAAATGTATATTCTACAAGCAGTGCATTGCCAAGTCGAAGTACGAGAGGGACCGTAAGAAATCCAAAGATAGGATGCGGAAACATCAAGAGCTGCAAGTCAACCATAGGCTAGACTATAGCCGCTGCAAAATGGATTCCATCTTGCGGCAGTCCGAGTGTTTGTGCATCATTATTGACGGCATGGATCAAAAGAAAACTACCATACCGCATATAGGACAGGCTAACTACTCGAAGGACTTGCACCACGAGAGGATGATGAAGACTGGTCTCACAGCCGTTCTGATCCATGGTCGGGATCCGTCTATATATGTTTACACATATTTTCCTTACTACACAGACGGTCCCAGCAATACGGCGACGTGTTTAATGCGGACTCTTACGGAGATCCAATCCAGAGATGGTGATGGGAAAGGAGGAGAGGAGGAGGAGGAGGAAGAAGAAGATGGTGATGGCCCGATGGGGAAGGAGGAGAGGAGGAAGCAGGAGGAGAAGGAGGCAGAAGACGGTGATGGGGAGGAGGAGGAGGAGGAAGAAGAAGATGATGGTGATGGGGAGCGAGGAGAGGGGGAGGAGAAGGGGGAGAGAGATCGGCTATGGGAGGAGGAGGATTAGGATGAAGAAGATGGTGATGGGGAAGGAGGAGAGGAGGAGGAGGAGGAAGAAGATGGTGATGGGAAAGGAGGAGAGGAGGAGGAGGAGGAAGAAGAAGATGGTGATGGCCCGATGGGGAAGGAGGAGAGGAGGAAGGAGGAGGAGAA